GACTCCCCACATTCTCTCTCTCTCTCTCTCTCTCTCTCTCTCTCTCTCTCTCTCTCTCCTTTATCTACAACTATCAAATTTCAAACATATAAACACATACAGAGCAGGGACAAGTCATCTAGGCAGTGTCTAGCTTAGTACTTGATGCAAAGCTGACTGTAGCTTCTGAAAATGATTAAGTCAAAATCAATTTTGAATCAAAATTACAAATAGATATGGAAGGTAACATGGAAATACGAACAGTAATTATTTTTTCAGGAGTTTAGAAATGACAGGTGATCTTATATTCTTGATGCCTAGTATTTAATATCCTATGATTTGCAAAAATAAAATAATTTTTAAAAATATAATGCTAAAAAAATATATAATGCTAAAAGTCTGGTCTGCATAGAAGATGTGGGGTGTTACTTCAAAACAATCAATAAGCATTTGGTAAGTGCTAACTATACGTATTATCACAGTGTTAGGCACAGGAGACGATGTCCTCAAAGAACTTATTTCCAGTTGAGGCATCAGGGCATAGAGAAGAGACAGGAAGAATGTATGGCAGCAGAAGCAAAGGAAACCACTGCCTGAGAGGCCATGGGGCAAGGCGTCCTGAAAGGGGAAGGCCTTAAGCCGGCTTGAATGCATGAACTAAGGCTAGGCCTTAGATAAGGAAATGAGAGGAAGGGTGGATGCTACTTCCAACAGCCAGACAGTGGGAAAGCACATGGATTGGTTAGGGGAAGGTGAGGCTGGAAAACTGGACACGATGAGGCTGATAAAACAGGGAGAAGCCAGATGATGGGGATTCTGAATGGAAAAGGAAGGTGGCATGGACAAAGTGGTGTTTCAAAAAGATGAAACTGTACAAAGGGAAAGGGAGGGACGAGACCTGAGAAACTAGAGGGAAAATGTTGACAAAATCTGGTGACTGGTCAGTGTGTAAGGAGAGGCTAGTCCCTGCCATCTACCCTCCAGACGGTGCTCATTTTCCATGTAAAATGGTCCATTCCCTATTCCTTCCTGAGAGTGATCATTTCCCTAGCAATATGAAGAAAAAACATGGTACTAAATGATTTCTGGTAATATTATTTTCTATAAATTTAAAAATAATTTAGGTTGAAAAATGTTAAATGGTATCTATTTCCATGGTTAAAAAATAATCAACTACACACGTTTTTCTTCACCATGATGTGGAAACAAAATGGACTATGTGATTCCACCATGAAAGATGGTTTCAGTGGTGACTCAAATAGATATTAGGTTCTGCCAATATAAATCTATTCAACAAATATTTACTATGGAATAAATAATAAAATACTATGAATTTAGTTTTATCTTTTCTTCAGAACTCAACTACAAAGTCAGAGACAGCCGATGAATGGTAAATATTACCCAATCAGTAGCCAAAGACAAAGGTTCCAGACTTGGCTGTGACTGAGATCACACAGCAAGTAAATTAGTTTGTCTCTCCCAGCTTCTGTGAATGAGTACCAAAGCAAGTTACATTTGTGGAATGCTTTTAGTTTACATGGATAGGTTTTCCTCTCCCATTTTTTAAACTATAATTTCACTAACACTCTTGAAGTTGGACAAGACTGACTTTATTACCTCAAAATTTACAGATGAGGGTACCAGACATAATTGATAAAGCAGTGATTACAACCTAGGTCTTTGACACTAAATCTCATACTCTTTCTACATTGGGCTTACCTTACCTACTTAAAAAATTATTTGGACGAGTTACAGATATGGAAATGCTTTGGAAAGGTTACAGCATTACACAAATGAAAGCAATATTATTTTGTTTGGGTGTGACCAGGACAGAATGCAACTTTTAAGGGGCCTAGCATCTATACAAGTTGGGGATCCTTCTTTAAGAAAAGGAACACAAAAATAAGGTAAAGACCCTAGAGGGGGCCGATGAACGTGAGGTTCCCTGAAAATGAAGCTTCATTTAGCTTCAAGGTAAGCCTGCCTCTGGATGTAACACAAACAAATTCACTAGTCAGCCTACGAAGATCAAGAATGCCTTCTAAAACCTAACTCCTGCCTTCTAAGCAGCAGGTAAAGAACACATGGATACAGGACAAAAAAAATTCATATTCTCTCAATATCACCCATGATACACCATGTAACAAAACTTCTAGGTAGAAATAGTCTTTGCTATGTCTTTATAAGGATTAAAGAACAAATTACCAACTAACAACAAAAAATAATTATAATACAACTATAAGAATTATTTTGCTAAAATAATTAAGCTAGAACATTATACCATACAATAACTGTTTTACACACACACGGATATAAACACACACACACTCATATTTACTCACATTGTGGCAAGCAAAAGATCTCATTAAAAAAATTTTACCTCGTCTCCGCCCATAGCTCCTGGCTGCATGTAAACACAGAAGAAAACCATGGGTATTTGTATCAAAATGGTGAATTTAGAAATTAAAAAAAATATATTTACACAAACCTTTTCTAAGTGTTCTCAGAATTAATCTGGAGATACTGTTCAACTTGACCCCAGGCATATTATATTTTAAAAACCTTCATGAAGCACAAGTTAAATCACAATTTTAAAGAGAAATTCAACTGGATGTGGCAGCCACTGGAAAAGGTAACAGTGGGTGCTTAAGTTTCACAAGTCTCATAAAGATTTATATTGTGGCCCATTATCTATATCAGACACAGAGTTCTTTTTAAAATTTTTTCTGATTTATAAATCTTCATTTGCTCTATATATTGCCATCAGACATGACCTAAAAAAACAAACATTCTAAATAACTAAAAACTGTAGCATGTGGTGGTCACTCTGAATTTCTTCACACACACACACACACACACACACACACACACACACACACACACACACACGCGCGCGCACACACACACTTCATAAAGAATCCCCTGAAAACTGTATAGAAATTTTATACACAATCAACTCTTGCTTTACAGAATGTGTTTCTATAAAGTTTTTAGTTAATTTCTCTTAGTCTCCCCATTTACTTTCCATACAGTATCACAGATGAGGGGAAAACAATAGATTTTTCATCTAGAAAGTGAATTGAAAAGGTAGAAAGGGATTAAGCTACTGGGTACATCCCAGATCATGCTGAAGAACAGAATACTTTGAAGATTATTTTCCTCTTCAAAACTCAAGGCCCACAGAATGTATTGTGACAATGTTTAATAGAGTTAGACTGTGGTAACATACATATACTGCTAAGAGATCCTGTCATCTAAAGTAATATTCAAAGTAGAAATTTTCTCAAATTTGAAACCTCAGGTTCTATAAAAGTAAATGAGAACTCTATTTAATTCATTTTTTAAAAGCATGCAATGTCATAATATTAACTTAAAACCAAAAACAAGGATAATTTGAGGACGCATTTGCAATATTTCTCTCCTAGGAATAGAATTCAGACTTTTCAGCCAGAAAGCTGAAATACCAGTTGGCCAATCTCATCTTCTGTTAGTGTTAACTTTTCTTCAGTCATCATACTCACACTCCTACATACCTTTGGCCTCTTCACTTTCCCATTACACAAATATTAAAACAGGTTATCCAGTTCAAACCCTAGTTTCTCCCTTACTCCTTCCATCACTAAAAATAAAATCTCTTGGGCTGGCCGAGTGGCTCAGTTGGTTAAGAGTTGGCTTAAGAGAGCAAACTCTGAGCAGCAGGACCGCCAATTCAATTCCCACATGGGCCAGTGACGCTGTGCCCGAGATGAGTTGTCGCTGAGCTACCAACAGGTAGCACGATGGCTCAGCTCATGTAACAACAAGATTGCCTGTTCGATGGTGGGCTATGCCCACCTGCAATAAGACTGAACTTGGCACCTTGAGCTGAGCTGCCACCCAGATGCCTCAGTGGATAGAGTGTGCGCTCTTAACGACAAGGCTGCTGGTTCAACTCCCGCATGGGATGGTGGCTACGCCCACCCGCAACTAAGATTGAACACAGCGCCTTGAGCTTAGAGGCTACGAGCTGCCTACAGGCAGCCAGATGGCGACTGGCATCTTCCACAACTAAGACTGAAGAATAACAACTTGGCTGATCCCCTTCCCCAATTCCCCAACACTGTACCCCTCCCCCAATTCCCCAATAAAATCTTAAAAAAAAAATCTCTTCTGAATTTACATAGCAATTACTGTTTACATCACTTACAAAGGGAATAGAATCCAAAAAAAGGAACTTCTACACTTTTCATTATTTGGAACCTGGAATTCATCTCCCCCATACAGTGTATAATAAATGATAGTTGGTTTTCTAGCCTGGCCCCCCAGAAAGCCTACTTAATTTATAATAATACGAGTGAATTAATACTAACAGATAACACTCAAAGAGATTAAATACGTTTGACATCCTACTACTTATTTCTTTGTCCCTTATTCCATCCCCAATGATGTCATGCTGCCCAACATGCACGCTGTAAAACCTCTATTTAGAGAAAAAAATAAAACATTCTATATTTCAAAATTACTTATTTCTCTCCCAAACAACAAATTCCCATCCTTTCATTATATCCGATTTCTGGCCAGATGCTCAATGAAAAAGAGTCTGATTACAATACTAAGGTACAAATGACTCATCAGACCTTAACACACCTACAGGATAAATGAGAATGCTGTTCACTCAAGTCTTCAACTGATAGATATTCAGGTAACAGAGAACACAAAGTGAACAGATCCAGATAGGCATGGGGGTGCACAGGAGCATTCTGAATTGGGGAGTGGGGAAGATTGGAAAAAAACATACTTGGGAGTTTTAACCACAGCTTCCTTAAACAATTCATTATTTTTATAGATTTTTCATTTTCCATTCTAATCAAAGACAGGAAATTGGTTCCTGTTGGCCTGGGGACTCTGATGTCATGGAGGCAAGATGGCATATGGAATAGGCATCCAATTTGGTAATCTGAGATGCTTCAATTTGCTATCATCATTCATTGTGGAATTTAATTATGAGCTACCTTGGTTCTAATTTCAGTATTTTATCTATGATCCCTATGGTGATTGCTATTATAGCAGCTAAAACTTAATGAGTACTGACTATGTTCAGGAACAGTTCAAAATGCTTGACATGTATTACTATCATTAATACACCCCACAACTTTATAAGTATTCTTATTAGACTCTTCTTTCAAATGAGAAAAACAGAACACAGAATTATGTATCTTGCCTAAAATCACACAGCTAGGAAATGGTGAACTTGGAATATAAATCTAAGCAGTCTGGCTCCAGAGTTCACACTTTTAACCACCTCATGTTAAATTCCTAGAGGGCATGGTCGATATCTTGTACTCCTTTTAACATCCTCTAATGAACCTGGCAGAATGCTCGGAACCAAGCTGGTATTCAACAAATATGGCTTATTTGCTGGGTACACAATCAAGGGAGGAAGGAATACATGCCTTGATGGCCTTTGTAATGTAGGCCAACTCTGTTGGTGCTTAAAAATTTGCTCATATGAGGGCTATTTGCAAACAGTCTAATTAGAGTCAAACTCTTCCCTAAGGGAGAGGTAATGAAATGAACACCAAGGAGAGAAATTTGGGAGCATAAAGGTAATGCTTTCCCCTGAGAACAAATATGACTTTTAAGCAAGAAAGAATATTGAATACACAAACGTACATGAGCCAGCACAAAACAATCCCACACAGAATAAAAAGGGAGCAATGTGACTAATTCCATCTATATAATATATTCTGTGCTAGTATACATTTATGTCAGATATAATAAAATGTGATATACTTTTAAAGTCTTGTGTACTTTGTGCAAGACCTTTAATTCTTGATTATCAATCGTCATCATCATCACTACAGATGCAATTCTTTTACAATTTCATATGTATTAAACAATTTTAGACCTCACAAAAAATTACATTTAACTTTTAGAAGTCAAGGCAGTGGTCACCAGTGGCTAGGGGTATTAACTAGAAAGAAGCCTGAAGGGGTTTCTGGGGTGTTGGTAATGTCTTGGTCTTTAAGTACAGGTTATATGGATGTGTTCAGTTTGTGATAATGCCTCAAGCTATATATTCATGATCTGTGGCACTGTTTGGTATGTATATTCTACTTCAATAAAAAACAAAGCACTACACATATTTTAGATTAGCTCACTGGGATAAAAGGCTTTAAGATTAATGTAGAAAATCCAAATGCTAACATTTTTGTAGTCTTTGAATCATAAACCTGAATAATCCAAAACTGAAAAAACTGAAAGACTTATTTTCAATTCACCAAAATAAACAGGTACATGTAGTTGGCAGTGGAATATGCCAGAGTTATTCTAAAAATAAGTTTACATGATTAATGACTCGTACGTTGTAAATGGCACTCTCATGTTAATGGTATGGTGCTTTGTTAGGCATGTGAGGCAATACTTGTAAAGGATCATCTGTTATTCCTTATGACTTGGCCTGCACTTAATTTTAAATGGCTGCACTCATACATGTGATTTCCCCAAGGGCATGTTATGATTTGATTTTAAAATTTAAGCTAATTCTTCAACTACATGAATTCATATAAATTCACTGAAGTTTCTCGAAGCAAAGTAACATTATATACAGATTTCACCATAGAGGATCAAAGATGAGGGGTGTTCGGGGGAGACAGATATCTCCACTCTATTGTGGGTCAGGAGAGCATGCACTATTTCAGGAACTTAAGCAGAGTCCCTGGAGTGCTGTGTTGATGAAGAACAGAGGAACAAGATACAAAGAACTTAGTACAACACTTTACTAACTGGCTTGGAAATATCTGTCAAGGCAGTTAAAAGTCAACTATAGGAACAAATTATTAACTCCTTTCCTTGCAATAAAATCAGTTTCTTAAAATCACCTTGCAAATTCATTTTTTGAATACCAAAATTAAATTCTGTTTGAATATCTAATGGTCCCTTTCAGCTTCCATCTAAGTATTAGTCATGCAAATAATTCATGGCTTAAGATCTTAAAGTTAGTATAAAAATGTCCCTTTTTCCCTAATTAGATTGTAAATTCCCAAAGAGCAGGAGTGATGGAGTTTATCTCATAAATGTTCCTCCTCTATCTCTGTCTTTATAACGGTAAGTAAAATGGTTTTAGGCCAATGATTCTCAAATCTGGAAAATTATAACTTAAAAGATCAATTGCTCCATAAACATGAATTTAGCAGATAAAAACAATGCTTGAGGGGATGGGGTACATTTTCATCTGCTACATTCACATAAAGTGTTTGGCTGTTTTAAAATCCCTTCTACTCTTATCTCCTTAGCTCTTACACATTTTTCTCAGAAAGATCTTCCCATTCCATTTGCAGGCCTAAAATGTAACACTAGTAACTGACAACCATAATGCCAGTGTTACTGACATACTTTATAAAAGAGAAGAAATACCATGAAGTA